TATATATATATATATATATATATATTAACTTTCAACATAATATTCTAGCGATGATGTTTAAAACATAGAAAATCGGTATCAAAATTGGTTTATTAAAGATAGACATTAGTTACTGGCTTATTTTTGTATAATTATCATTCTTTTAGATCAATTTCTTAAGCTGTATCTTTTATATATACCCAACATTTCATCCGGTTTAGACAATTTACCTTCTTTTTTAGTCAAAGTATCATGATTGTTTACTACTTTTTAAAAAAATTAAGAAATATTTACTAAAATTGATGAAATAAATAAATTATCTAAAATGTTGATTGACTAGAAAAAAAAGATAGAATATGAGAAAGTTGGAGAAAAGGATAAAAAATAATCTCTAAATGGCTGATTGTATAAGTTTAACATTTAGAATAGAAAATAATATAACTTACTTTGTTTAATAATTTCAATAAAATAGTTTAACGTGATGGTTAGTTAATAATAACGATTAAAATTTGTAAATGAATAAAGAGTCGATGACATATGAAACCTCTTTATGACATTCTACAATGATAACTTAAAAATGATTTGTTTTTAGTTCAATATGATACCTTTAAGTCTAATTGAATAATGACATTTTAAATTAGTATTACTTACATATAAAGAATAAAGTGTAAACGTAAACATGACATTATAAAAATATAATATAATTCTGTTTTTCCGTTTAACCATATATGGCAAAAAAAAAAATGCGAACCGAAGAACTGAAGATAGTACCAGTTAAGTTAGCAAAATTGAAGCAAATTAGAAAAATGGTGCTTTATTTTCTTATCATAGCATCCTACATGATTATAGTTACAAATCAATGCCACAAGAAAAGATCATATTTTTCTATTTTGGTTAGACTAAAAAATAGCAATGTACTTTGCTAGGTGTCAGAATAACAGAAGTTAGGTTCTGAAATTATGCGATATGAAGAAAGTACATAGCGTCCGTTGCATAATGCAAGAGTTTGAGCTTGAATTTCATTGTGTTGGAGGTTAGTTTTGCCTCTTCACTAACCTATTAATCTCTCATCTTTCTATTAAAATATTCTCTTTTATTTTATAAGAGAGATGTTATGCTCAAACATATATCTTAGCTCGAACATGAGTTAGCCGCAGCAAATCAAAAGCTTCAGGTACATTATCATTATATATATATATATATATATATATATATAACCCTCCGGCGTACCGGCACGACAGGCCTATTATAATCATAAATGATTATATAGCGCCACCCGTTCCTTTCTCCTCCATCACCGCAATCGCCACCGCCAGCACCACTACCACCACCTCTGACACCAACCGACCCCACCACTGTCACATCCGTCACTTATACCACCGCCACCTCTGCCACCACCACCTCTTCTGCCACCAACTGTCATTTTACCTCGAATATGAACCGTAAATTGATAAATGCTACAAAAACTTCAATTAAGGACCAAATTTGCAGGAGAATACTATTTAGGATCAAATTTGCAAAAATCATCAATACTTAGGGACCACAAATGTAATTTACTCTTATATTTATTAGTGTGTTAACTATACAGTTAACTTTCAAAAGATTGTTACTTATTACTATTTTTTCAAATAGATCGTTGATTTATCTTCATCAGAGTTAAGGAGAATATGTCGACCAAAAACAAATTGTTTCTTAATTAGTGTGTTAAATAACCATTTTTCCATTATTAATTATGTTTTGACAACTAACTCAATGTTTATTTGGATTTAATGGTTTTATACTTGCAGGAGCTAAAACGGAACTATAAGGTTAAGTCATCGATATAGTTGAAAGTGGAATGTTTTATATTGTCATTTTAACAAAGGGACATATACGTGGAACAGTTACCTACTTTAGTCTAGTGACCAATAGGGCAATGTATTTATATGTTACCTATAATAACAACGTACTTCCATTTTTTACTGATAATAGCAATGTACTTGCATTTCACTACTTATGTGGGTTTTGTAATTTGTTTGTTACATATTGATATTGTTGATAAAAGTTTTTAAGTACATTGCTTTTATGAGTAAACATTTTAGGTATGTTTCTATATTATGATAGCACCATATTTTCATTTATTCATGTTACAACATTTTCACTTTAAGAATTTACCAATTATAAAAATATTATCCTAATGCGATTTTAGTTGAATTTACAGTTAGGTTAACTGTAATGAATGTAGGCTGCTATAATAATAATAATAATAATAAAGTTTGTATGTGTTTGTATAATTGGAACAAAAGAACAATATAAATACAAAAAACAATGAATTTCATAGTATATCTTTCCGCTTATACTAAATTTTAGTCCCTTGAGTTAGATACAACATAAAGATGACCCAAATTTTGTTATTCTCACAAAAAATAGCAATGTACTTATTGTACTATCTAAGTATATTTTAGGCAGCTTACAACATGTGTAACATCCGGATTTCCAGGTATCATAAATTTAAATATTTATTTTGAGTTGAGAAGAGGGACTCGACGAGTTGGCGCCTAGACTCGTCGAGTAGGATCGCGGTTGATGACTCAGATTAATGAATGGACTCGACGAGTCGGTGAGGCGACTCGACGAGTCCGCGCTGTTGGCAGAAACCCTAAATCTTTGGGCCTGAGCCCTATTTAAAGGCATTTATAGCCTTCAGTTGCGGCTACCTTCCCAGTAGAAAGAACCCTAGCATATTTGAGCGTGTGTAGTGAGAGAGAGAGCCATCTTGATCCATTTTGTTGTGATTTTGCTAAGGAGGAGAAGTGATCCAGCAAGAAGGACCAAGGGAGGTTGTTGTTCTGAGACTTTCAAGCAAGGAGGCTTCACTTTGAGGTAGCAATTCGCCCCTTTTCTTCTTTATTGTGTAGGCTTCTTGGTTCAAGGGTTTCTTTACCCTTTCTTGAGTTAGAATAAGAGCTTGAGAGGTCCCAATGTGAAATAGACCTTAGATCTGGACCTTGAGAGGTCCAGAGAGCCCCAAACATCTAGCTTTATGCAGTTCCTTTTTGAGTTTTGGATCATGGTTGTCATATTAGGGCTAAATCATCATATAGAGCCATATGAGTGTTGCATGCGCATAAAGTTTGGACCTTTACGTAACTTTTGAGTGTTAGAAGGCCAGATCTATAGATTAGAGAAACAGATCTGA